AATTGGACCACGGCCCATCAGCCCGGAAGACATGAAGAATATTGACTCCGGCCGTGAAAGCCTACATTCGTGGTAGTTGCTGCCGCCCGCGATCGCGACTAGTGAGGAGTTGAGCCGAACGATTTTCTTCGCATGCTGCTAATATTCCGCCGCCCCTTCCATTCACGTGTTAATAGCGACCGTCGCTCGGCCGCGACTTGCATCCGAGGCGGAGTGACCCGTGATGAGCCGCTGCTTGCGATTGGCGAACCCCGACAGCAGCTGTACCATAGTCCGCGGAAAGGCGCGAAAAGCTGTTCGCGGGAACGCCAGCGGTCGCGTGGAATTCATCTGTCGTTTGATACGAAGGTAACTTATCGGAGAACCGGACGCCATCAGCCGACGGTCATGGAAAGGCTGAATCAGTGTTGACAAGAGGTCTTAAGCATTTTCCACTTGGCACTGAGGCCAAGTTCCCACATCCATCAATAAATTCTGTCATGTTATCTAAAATAATTCACTGTGTAATTTTGGAGAATTAATTTCAAGAAAAAATGGGGAGCGGGGTTTTTAAAAGTGAAATAAAATAAAGTGCGTGCCAGTTGGCTGTACTCTGTTAAGTAAATGTGTTGCACCATTCTTTCAAAAGATAAAGTAAAACCAGATATCACTGCTTCTCAGACACAGACCAGCCCCACTCTGAAGTAAGTCCTTACATCTGCCGGTGCGCAAGGACTATTCAGATCTCCAATTACACAGCCACACACCAACAAAATTGTCTGACCCAGAGACTTGACACAAAATTCTCTATGTATCTCGAATGTCGAATCTCTCTTCTCGAATGTCGTTGAATCCGCATCCGAAGCCAGAATTGCGCGACCACCCTCCAGTTTTTTGTAAATCGATAACACACATGTGAATACTAGGTTTTGGTGTCTTGTAGCATTATACTGTACAGAAACCAAAAGTTGTTATTATTGTATCGTTGAAATTTCACGGTGATTTTTTTCGCGATTAAAAAACTGGAAGTTGGTGGCGCAATTCGGGCTTTAGATTCGGATTCAGCGCGTCGACAAACACAGAGACATGTGTCAAGTCCGTGGATCTGACGACTTTTTATGTGTGTACCTGTGTTATTTACTGTAAGAAAACATCAACATTTGAATAATTTAGAGAATGGTGGTTTGTATACGAAAGTTTGTAGTGGATAAGACGAAGGAGCTTTACCTTCTTGCGATGCTCGTGGAAAATCTGCTATAAACCGATTTAGAATCTCATGAAGTGAAAATTGAGGAACATATGAAGAGGTAACTTGAAGTGAGCAGCCAGAGCTCTGATCACTTTTTAGGGTTGCGCCTCCACATTTGTTCACAAATTTCAACCGCAATTTTAACGTGATTGTTAGCATCGAGGAAGAAACAAATTGCCGAGGGTGATGATTAATACGAATGTATATTTACTTTAACTGCTAACTTGTGTAGAAAACTATTATCTACACAAGTAGTGTTCAGAAAACCTTTTTCTGCAGTAGGAGAGGAAAGAGTTATCCGTAACATCACTGTTTTGTGTTTCGTAAAAATCTGCTGTTCTCGAATTTTCTTCACCATACATTTCGCATGAAAAGTTTGAAATTTGTTTCCAAATAGTGCATACTAAGCCAACACGCTAGATAATTGAAAATTATGCTTCCGATTCATTGGACGTTATGTGGGGAAGGCAATTCACGTCCAACGCCACTGGTATGTATTGAAAAACTACTTCGAACTGGTTTGCTTCATCATGAATTCTTCATGAAACGATCGAGATCTAAATCTTGAGATCCCAAGCAAACGCCCTGAACAGCCTATTCTGAGTCTATGTATGCATAGATTTCATTGCAACTGTAGTTTGAAATGTTTGCATTAATGGATGAACATCTCGCTGATCTTTCTTGTTTATAAACATTAAGTTTAAACGGCTAACACATGAAGTAAAATTCGCGTACGACCGAGGAGAGTCTGCTGGAGTGGGGGTAGAGTTTTATTTATGTCCCAGGAAAATGTGCTTAAAACCGGTTTTGTGTACCATACACCCGGACACCATGAAAATACTATATATCAAGATACCTCGAGAAAACAACTAAGTGAACGTGCTGAACACTATTTTCTGAAATAGACCACCGTTATTGTACGCTTTGCTTGGCAATCGTTTCGTGAAATGCGTGAAATGTTTGTATCGGCAAAGGAGCGTGTTGCCGGATGCGAGGATAATTTTAGCTGCGGGCGGGGCCGAGGGCTGGGCGGTGTGCGTGTGTG